CAGATTTCTGATTTAGGTATCTGGATAGATAGCTATATTTTTCATTAGGATAGGGAATAAAGTGTAAGAGGCAGATTTAGGGGAAAGTGGTAGGTGGATATTATAGGTATCAGCATATAGATAATAATTAAAGCTGTGGGTAGATAGGTCCCTCAGAAAAAGTATATAGAGTAAAAAGCTAAAGGTGGAACCTTGGGGAATACCAGGATCTTAAGGATGGCCAGAAGAGTAGTAGGCAGAGCCAGAGAGTGGTTTTAGAAGCTTCTGACAAATTTAAAGGGTCTGGTTCATGTATCTATAAATTGAAGAGCTGCATTGTTTAAAGAATGTAATTTGGAAACAAATTTAGTCTATGAGATTGGGGTGTGTGTATGTGTTTGTATGTAAATATAAAGGGTGTGGGTATTTCAGTGTTCCAGATCATCTGGACAAATACTGTACTGACTTTAGGTTATCATTGAATCCTTCAGGTCCTGTTTATAGCAATTCTTCAATAAGAAATGAATTATCAGTGCATCACAACAGTAGGCAGAAACCTACTGAGAAGAAAAATCAGTCATCTAAGAATATCAAGAAAAAAACTATTCCATTTAAAAGGCAGAAGACAGCAACTCAAGGCAGCTCAAGAGTGCAGAAGTCTTTAAATGCTAAGGGTTCCGAAGGTATTATTGACCATGATGAAGCCTCCGGTTGTTCCCACATTGAGCCATTGGAAAGAGACGAGGCAGACCTAGCTGAGAAGAAAAATCTTGATAATCATTCTGGGTAATGTCTGTAATGTGTACAATATAGTTATTTTTGTTTTTCAGCATTTAATAGCTTTTCCGATATTTAGTCATTGACAAAGAAGCAGTATTTGTGTAAAGGGCTCTGCAGTTGTGATAGACCTGGTTGATATTAAATCCAGGCTCTACCATTAGCTGGGTAACACCCAGACAAAGTAGTACCCTGACGTTTTTTTCCCATATTAAAGTGGGGAATAATGTATAGCAAATGGGATTGTAATCGTTAACTTTAATAAAATACTATTCTTGCCCAAGAGTTGATTCTTTTTAAAAAAAATTTTGGTAAACACATAACATAAAATTTACCATCTTAATCGTTTTTAATTTTAGTAGAGACGGGATCTCGCTCTTGCTCAGGCTGGTCTCGAACTCCTGAGCTCAAACGATCTGCCCGCCTTGGCCTCCCAGAGTGCTAGGCATCTTAATCATTTTTAAGTGTATAGTTCAAGTTGTTTTCCTTTTAAGTGAAATTAATGTGATTTCAATAATTACAAATATATCTCAATATTTTTCTTAAATGATAATAGTTAACAGTTTTGGAGTGTTTCCTGTGTGCCAAGTATTTGCTAGGTGCTTTGAATGAGTTCTCATTAGTCCTAACAACCTATTAAGTATTGTTTTTATGCATTCTTGCTTTTCGTTATAGCATGCATTCAACAAATAATTAATATGTACTGTGTGTTAGGAACAGCAAGGTGCTAGGGATGTACTGAAATAAATGATAGAGTGCCCTAAAATATGCTGGGGTGTGTCATTATTGTCATAAAGAAATCCTATATTCATTCTGTTTAATTTTTTCAGACATTCTCATATTTGCTCTCTTTTTTACGTGTTACTGGATTTGGTTTGCTAGTAATTTGTTGAAGTATTCTGGTCTGTAGTTTGCTTTCATTATGATGTCTTTGTCTAGTTTTGGTATAAAGGTACTACTGGCTTCATAAAATGAGTTAGGAAGTATTCTGTTCTATTTTTTGAAAGAGTTGGTGAAGAATTTTTACTAATTTTTCTTTGAATGCTTGGTAGAATTCAGTGGTGAAGGCATTTGTGCCTGAGGTTTTCTTTTTGGGTAG